TGCAGACAAAGGAGAAACTGATTATTCTGCTACTTTCTGATTATTATTTCTGTTTTTCTCCATTGTATTATTTCCTGCACTTGCAAATATAAAACAACTCACTGATCACTATTAGAGCACTATGTCATTTTTCAGCCAACCTCCATTGTTCAGCTGATCCTGCAAATTGCAGTGCATGGTGCACTATGATACTTTAAAAGTCAGTGTGCCGTTTTTATTTAGCCCAGGGTTTTTTGTCTTTCATTTTCCTCTTGATAAAACTAGTTATAATTATGTGCGACTGTGCTTAATTACTGCAGCTGCATCTTTTTTTCTGCTGCTAGATGAAATTTACTACAACTATTCTCTGTCTTTATGGATTGCAACTTCACAATTCTTTTATCTTTTGGGTATGCTTAGTAGTCAATTTTTCAAAAAAAAAATTCAGTATTTCCAGTAAGCGAACTCATAGGAATTTTCAGTTAGGTCAAGATCTTAATATCTGTTTTAATTCCCCCCAAAGCTTGTGATCTAACTTTTAATTTTAGCAGTAGGTGTCTCTTCTCCAGTGCTGTAACAACAAACACAAACACACACACACACACACACACACACACACACACACAGAGAGAGAGAGAGAGAGAGAGAGAGAGAGAGAGAGAGTTCATTTTACTACATTGCTATTCACAAGAAAATATAAACAGAGAAGGTTAAGAAAAGATGCATTGTATAAACTGGCCTTTGAGTCCATAAAAAAATTAATACGCCAGGATCCTGGACAGTCACACTGCCCACACAGCAGACATAGTGCAAGTGGTTTAACCTGCAGAAGTTATAGGACCTCACGTGAAGAACTGCAAACCAGATATTCAATAAAAGGCTCTCTGCACACAAGCAATACTTGCATAAGTGAGAGATCCTGCTTCATTATGCTCTAGTGGTACCCATGAAGATTTTGGCTTTGTTTATGCACTCTACTGTCCATAACATTTTTGTAATCACAACCAGTTTTTCTTCAGTTTTCCTCCAGAGCTGGTATATTCTGTCTCACATTCATTTTATCTTGTGGACAGTAATCAGTAGTCATCTGCAAGACCATTAAATAATCTGTAGAAAACTTCTATTGTGTGACTGATCTACCTGCCATGTGATGAAACAAAAGTCAGATAATCTCTATCAGAGTATATAGAGCATGTGTTTTTTTTTTTTGCAGTCCTTTTTAAATAGCTCATTATGGTGCTTAACACATTTTATAGAAGAAACTGTACATTTTAACTTTGAGTCCATTGGAATATTTTGCACTTTGTCCATTCATTTGTACTGACATTAATTTTTGATGGAAACTGATTTTTGATGCTTGTTCTCTGTAGAAAACTGTTGGTATGTCTCTTGAGTCCATGTACATTATTCCACTTATTTTTGTGAGAAATATTCTAATTTTTGGTACTTTCTATTTGAAACATTTTATGTTGTGATGTTGGCATAGTTTTCTATTTTCTGTATTTCAAAAGTGCTGCAGGATTTGCTTGTCACATGCCTTATATGGTACAGACATAGCACCATCTGCTGTACAATAATATGCAGGCAGCTACTTTTGGAGTACAGTGAGATATGGTACTGTAACAAACATGCTTTATGAACCTGGAAGTAAAGTATCTTTTCCATCTTTATTAACACTTTCCTAAGAAAATTTATATTCATAGAAATTTTATTTTATCTAAACAGTTGTTGTTTAGTCGTTTAGTCGTGTCCGACTCTTTGTGACCCCATGGACCAGACCATGCCAAGCCCTCCTGTCTTCCACTTCCAACACAGCCAAATTCATGTTGGTAGCTTTGATGACACTGTCCAACCATCTCATCCTCTGTTGTCCCCTTCTCCTCTTGCCTTCACACTTTCCCAACATCAGGGTCTTTTCCAGGGAGTCTTCTCTTCTCATGAGATGGCCAAAGTATTGGAGCCTCAGCTTCAGGATCTGTCCTTCCAGGGTTGATTTCCTTTAGAATGGATAGGTTTGTTCTCCTTGCAGGCCAGGGGACTCTCAAGAGCCTCCTCCAACACCACAATCCAAAAAGCATCAATTATTTGGCGGTCAGCCTTCTTTATGGTCCAGCTCTCACTCCCATGCATCACTACTGGGAAAACCATTTATTTATTTTATTTATTTATTTGATTTTTACCCTGCCCCTCTAGACCATGTCTACTCGGGGCGGCTTACAAAATAAAACAGAACAGTATAAAAATATATAAAATCATAAAATTACAATTACAATTTCAATTTAAAACAATTAATTTAAAGAGAGGATTACCAAGATGGAATAGCAAAGAAAAGAAAAAAGGAGAAAGACTTAATTGACTGGAGGGAAGGCCTGCCTGAATAACCAAGTTTTTAACTGGCTTTTAAAAACACCCAGCGAGGGTGCCAGCCAAATTTCTGTTGGAAGGGTGTTCCACAGCCGAGGAGCCACCGCTGAGAAGGCCCGGTTTCTTGTTTTTTCCTTCCGGGCCTCTCTCGGTGTCAGACCCCTCAGCCACCCCTGCTGGCTATGTCGGGTGATTCGGGTAGATCTGGGTGGGAGAAGACGGTCTGCCAAATATTGAGGTCCCAAACCGTATAGGGCTTTATAAGTGATCATTAGCACTTTGAAGTCAACGCGGAAACGGATGGGCAACCAGTGCAAAGTAGCCAGAGTGGGGGAGATATGCTGGTGTTTTCTCACCCCACTAAGGAGCCTGGCTGCTGCATTCTGGACCATCTGAAGTTTCCGCATCAGCCTCAAAGGCAGCCCCACGTAGAGTACGTTACAATGGTCTAATCTCTAGATTACAAGAACATGGACTAGAGTAGTGAGGGCTCCCCGACAAGATATGGTCGCAGCTGGGCAATCGGCCATAGATGAAAATAGGTGGAGCAGACCACAGACGCCACCTGGGTTTCCATGGTGAGCGCCGGGTCCAGATGTATTCCCAAGCTGTGGACCTCACTCTTTGTGGCAAGGGTCGTCCCTCCAAAGGAGAGGGAGTCACCTATGCCGCTGACGGAGGGGCCGCCCACCCTCAAGACCTCCGTCTTGTCTGGGTTCAGCCTCAATCCATTTGACTGCATCCATTCCAGTACAGTCTCCAGGCAGCGCTGGAGGGACCGGACGGCATCCACTGAAGCTGGTGTAAAGGAGATGTAGAGCTGTGTGTCATCAGCTTTGATAATCAAAGCAAACCATAGCTTTGATTATGCGGACCTTTGTCGACAAGGTGATGTCTCTGCTTTTTAAGATGCTGTCTAGGTTTGTCATCACTTTCCTCCCAATAAGCAGGCTTCTTTTAATTTCAGCTAAACAGTACAATTCAGAGAGTATGTTTTGTTTTGTTTTGTTTTGCTAGCGAGTGTCTGTCCCAAGAGTAACAGCAAAGGCTCTTCATTTCCACTTGAGGAAAAGAGTGAAAAGTGTATCTTCCCTTACATTACACAACTGGTTTTCAGACTATATGTTCTTTTTCCCCAATAAGATCTAAGCACATGTATATAAAAGTGTGAAACAGTGGAATCAATGTTTATTTTTGCCTGGTAGTATTTTTGTAATAGTGAGAAACATGTTCATCTGCGGTACTTTAATTTCCTATGTATAGTATTAATTATCTTGTCTATATTTTGCTGTTAATAGTTGGTCGTCTATTTTATCTTGAGGTCTGAAAATGTTTAAAGATGCATTTTGAAGATAATAAGAAATGATAACAGAAAAATTGTTGTGAAATTACTGGATTTCTGCAGATGTATGTATTGATTAGCAAATAACTAATGTTAGTTCTTTAAAATCTATAAAAGTATCACAGTCCTGATGTTAATATTGCACTGAAATTGTAACCTTATTACGGTAACTTGAAGATCATGGATGCCATCGGGTAATATAATTTGGTGTGCAGAATTTAGGTAGTCCATGCTTTCTTTGCAACAATATGCTTTAAAGAAGACCACCTAAGAACAAAGTTGTGGGTTGTAGTTTATCCTGTAATCACTGAGATTGTTGGTGCCTAGTGAAATGAAAATAAGCTGCCTCTGGCTAAAAAAATATACTTTGGCTGGTAATGTTTATGTAATACTTCAGGAAAAGGCTGATGGTGTAATTGATATTACCAAATGGCAGTCTTACATCTTTCAAAACATAAATGGGTATGCACTTCGTGATTCTTTCATCTCATGTAGGAGAACCAGTGTACAAATAGCATAAACAATGTACAAAGGATCAAAACCACTGTACAAAAACACCAGCTCGGTGCATAACAATAGTATCAGCAAAAAAACAAAGCTAGGACAACGATTGTTACAAATAATTATAAGAATTTGTTCTGCTCTCCTCCTATGTTGCTTAGTCTTGTACTCTATGAGTCTCTTTGTGGTGGGGTTTTCTTCAGCAAGAACAGCCTGTAATTAAGCTTTGGACATCACAAATAGGCAGTTAACAGAAAGAATATAATTAACTTAGGTTTCTTCTTCTTGTGCTTCTCATGGTACAAGCAAAGACAGAACTTGTGTGCTTTTTCCATGCTGAAATATTCATGTGTAAATATTTGTGTAGGATAGGTGGAGTGTGAATTTCTACTCTGCATATTACAGGAGAAGAAAAACAGTGATGCATGTCCTCAGTTCACAATTTTGTATAAAACCTCTATGAAGAATTGATATAATGCTGATGATATGTATACTGGAAAGTCCTAATATCCAGTTTTGGATATCCATCATCCAGTTTTGTTTGGTGTGTGGAGTCTGGTGGAAAAGGCAGAGAGTAAGTAGACTAGCAGGCAGAGTGGAGCAGAAGCCCAATTCATGCACAAATGTAATAGGACTTTGGACATAAAAAGCCTAATGGTATTAGCTAACAAAAGGCATCATCATTATCACCATTGTCTTTGTCATCATCAAACCACTGTTGTAGTTGTGGGAGTATTTTAATGTTAACATTTTATTTTTGTATATTCTTTTAAAAATAAAAGTTGCATATATTTTGCTTTTGCTTGACAGATCCATGATGGAATACTCCGGTTCAATCTTCCTAATTTCCATTAGTTTTCTACACATTGAAGCCTTACGTGGCAATGGAACAACATCATTTAATGATACAACAACAAGTAAGGAAATGTTGAATTTGGTGATAAGTCTCTGTGTGAAGTCTTTTTTTTAGAGATATTAATACTCTGCAGCCAATTACTTACACATGTCTGCTGTTTTAGCAATTGAGATATTAGTATGTCACAACTTCTGCAAAATGTGACATCAGTCTGTAATGTGCCTCCTGACCTTCATATGATGAACACTAACTGCAACATATATGAGTAATGGACAATGCATGGTACCTTCCTACTGACAGTAGCCTTCAGTGTTGTGTTTATCGCTCTGAAGCTTCTCTGAGACTTCCATTCTCACTAAATCTTGGCGGGCTGTCAGCTTTCTTTTCCCCCCAGGTAGCAGTTAATTGTAATTGGTCCGAGTCTGGCCCTCTTTCAGTTTCCCTGCTATCTAGTTTGTTCCAGGTGAGCAATAGGAAAAGCCTGACTTCTTGCAACTTGGATTTTGTCTCTGTACAAGTCACTGTATATCTTGTTTTGCTTTCGATTTTTGTTCTGCTGGCTAGTCTGTGTCGCATAATAAATACTATCTATCAAAGCTTTTGACAACACAACACTTCAGGAAACTCGGGGTTGGGGAAGAGGAGATGAATCAGTGAATCCTAGTGAACATTCTGTCCCTCCCTTCATGTTTTTGTGGTTGTCTTGGACACATGAGGCATAGCTGTCAATTTTGGAATGATACTATACAGTGATGCCTCGCAAGATGAAATTAATTCGTTCCGTGAGGCTGTCGTATTGCGAAAATTTCATCTTGTGAAGTGTGGTATTAATGGTTGTGCGATTTATAACAACCCCCCCAAAAAGGAAAATAATTCGTCTTATGAAGCACGGCCATAGAAAAATTCGTCTTGCAAGTCACCAAAAAAATCACAACTTTTGTCTTGCGAGTTTTTCATTGTGTGAGGCATTCATTTTGCGAGGCATCACTGTATTTTTCATTAGTATAAATTAATAACTTTCCCACTACATGAAGCCCCTAAGAAACTTTGTCAAGAAGTATGTCAAAGCAAACCTAATTTTCTTTTGTGATTTCCACTTTCTTCCCATTGCTTCTTGCTGATGGTTAAAAATCAGTGGTTTTAGTGGACTGGCAAGTCCATTGCTGAAATCTTATTTCTGCAAGGCACTTTCTCACCTGTCCTCTGCAATGTAGCGGTTGCATTATTGCAGTATTGTAAGGCTGGCTGCAAGATCATGCATGTGAAGCACTATGCAGATGGTGATGACTTTGTTTGTACATTGTTCCTTGTTCTCCATCATTTGAATTTTTGACTGGAGCAGAAAGCGGCTGCTGGATTTTTACTGGGGCAGACTAAAGAGACTTTTCTTGAGTTGCACAGATAGGCAGGGTATAAATCAAATAAATAAATAAACTGCACTCTTCGTGTCAGAAAAAGTCAACATGCTGGTTGATCTGTGAGGAAATTGCTTGGAATGCAGCTATTTGGGGGATACCTCCTCACAGATTAACCTGGAGCCTTTTGAAACCCCTTGTGATTACTGTCTTGTAGTTGCCATTACCTTAAAGTCTCACTGCAGTGGCCAATCATGAGAAGGCTTATTTTGTGGTAGTGCATCAGAAGTTTGATTCTTTGGGAGAAAAGCTAGCCTTGGGCAAGTTGTACAGTTCTCAGAAAGTAGTCAGAAAAAGGGAGCAGAAAACCACCTCTGAGTCCTATCTACCTAGGAGACCCTGGCAAAAGTCCCCATAATTTGGAATTGATTTGTTAACATATTCTCCTCCTCCTCCTCCTGCTCCTCAAATCAGATCAATAAGATACCACCACAAGGCCAAAACTGCATTAGTTAAGACAAATATAAAGAATTCTAATCAAGGACTGCTCTGTTTTGTTGCAGAATATCAGAGAATTATGTGCAAGGCTGACGGCTCTGGAATTTCATATTATCAGCTTTGAAGCTCCAGTACTTAATGTTAAATGCAGCCAGGAGATTCTTAGTAACACTGTATGCTAGAACAGCAAGGATTACTGTCACAAAACCCGATAGCTTTAAAGCTTTTAACTTAATTGCATTTTAATTCAGAACAAAACAGTAACAATGGACTTGAAACTGACTCTCTTTCTGAACTCAAGGTCTGAATAACTGTATCTATCTTATTCCAAATGTCAGTATATTTTTTCGATTGGCACACACACACACACATCAGACTGGGTCATGTTACTTTATCGGGAATCTCATTCCAAGTCTCATGATAGACTGGCTGAAAGACAAGAGTGAACCTTCCTTGCTCTTTAAAGTTAAGAAAGCAAAATTCAGGGAACAAAATACTACTCATAATGAAAACAGGCGTAAGAGCAGAAAAGAATGTGTGGACCCAGTTCAGTTTCACAGTTCAAATGACGGACATGTGTACCAGCAAATGGAATACTGTCTTAGCTGTCTCTTTCGTTCTTCTTCCTTGTCCTTCTCCAAGTTGTTGCTGAAAAAATCCAGAACTATCCCCTGCCTGAATCTTTGAGAGGAGGAGGAACATTGGGATGTAATGGTGTTTCCAGATTATCCCCCTCTGCAATTACATATGTTTTCCTCCTGTGGAAGAAGTATTGAACTTCAAAACCATTGGCAAGCATTACACCACAAAAAGAGGTGTGCATGTAACACAACCTGTAGCAAAAGGGTATGCCTGTACAAGCAGTTGTTTCTCTTAAATCAATTCCTGCATCCAGTGGATTTTTAAGCATTAAAATGCAATCTGAGAGTAGCTGCTCTCAGATTGCATTTTAAACATTAAAACAGTTATGACAGATGCTCCAGATTCTGCTCCGCAAATTGGCATTTTGCAGGGAGAAAGAACATTGCTTGCACCTGGAAAACGTGAAAGTTGTCTTAAATTACATGTCTATTATTTTTATTCAGCCACAGCATTCATGTGAACTCAATCTTAGACAGAATAATGACCCAGTCACTGTGAAATACTCATAACACTGTATTAGATATAGGGTTGGGGGTTGGGAGCTAGCTTCTAAATTTAGACATCCTACAAAATAAATCCTTAAGGAATATTTTAAGCCTGACTCCCCAGGGACTCTATCTTCATTTCTTAAAGCTGAGCTTTGTTTACCTTACATAGTAGCGACAGCAGATTTTCTCTATTTAAGGTATAGGCCATGGAGGATACTTCCCTTACTGAACTTTGCTGGGTTGAACAACTAAGGTGATATGGCTGAGCACAGGGATACAGAAACACAATAAGGGATTATAATTTCCCATCTGCAGAGGGTTGACTGCCCCTAAATTCTGAGTTCTGTAGTTTGATTTGGATGCCAGGTTTTATACCACTGTCATTAAAAATGTGATTTTTTTTCACTTTAGTATAACAGTATTAAGGAGGATCACATCATGGTCACTTCTATTCAGGCCTCTGCTTTCCCCCTTCTACACAGAGTTAAAGTTTCAGGTTATTATTATTTTTCTATCTTAGAGAAAATAGTTTGATATGAAGTTGGAGATGTTCTCTGTCTTGTCACCAGACGGGGAGGAAAAGAAGGAAAGAGTCAGGGATAACTGGGGTACGACGTATAGACCAATCATCCACCACTGCTGTGCAGGGGGGGTTCTGAAGCATGAGATATTTAAAGAGTACTTTACCGCTGCCATCTCCCAATGAGCTCTGTGGCTCTGCTGGGATTTGAATCCAGATCTCTTGAGCCCTAGTCTGACATACTCTCCTTTACATCATACCGGCTTCTTTTACATATTAATAATAATCATATGCTTTCATGTCAATTCTGACTTATGGCAACCCTTTACAGGGTTTTCTAGGTAGAGAATAATCAGAAGTGGTTTACCATTCCCTTCTTCTGAGGACGCACTGGGGTTGTGCAGCTTGACCAAGGCCACACAGGTTGGCTTTACTAGCAGAAGGCACAGTGGGGATTTGAACTCCCAACCTCTGATTCTGCAGCCAGATGCTTAAACCACTGAACTATCCAACCAGCTATTGTTTACTCTAAGTGCTATAAAATTATTATGGTTTTCTTTTAAGAGTCTGCAAACAAGGTCCTCATTTGATGTTACTTACTTGTATGGAAACACTGTGTTGGGTTTTATGGATGTTTGTAATAGAGTTCTGAATATTGAGAGAGCACTGAATGAACTTGTTCTTTTGTAGATTTTGTGTATATACAAAGACCTTTGGTCTGGTGTAATAAGGTTTCGCCACAGCTTTCATAGTAATATGATTATGGACTGGAGCAAAACATTTTCATGGTTTTTTACCACATGGTAAAAGAGATTACCTGAAAGTTCTGAAATCTATATTTAGTCAGATCAAAGTTTCAATTCAACACACTTAGAGAGATTAGTCTAATATACAGCTGTTTGACCTTTCACTGGTGTGTAGATGTAAAAAAAAAAAATTCAGGAGAGCTAAATACTAGAGATGGGCATGAATTGATTCACCCTGGTTCATCCCAGTTCATAAACGCAGCAGTACAAGTGCTGCTGCTCTCCCCCTCTGCCTCAAACAGCCATTCACCAGGCCCAGAGTGCTAGCTCCCTGCACCTCCTCAACTGATCTTCCAGTCCCACCAACAGCTCAGGCTTCTCTGCCCCCACCCTCTTGGCTGATCTCCCTCTCAGACAAAAGGGCAGGGCAGAGAAGTCTGTGCCCTTGCTCCTGACTGGGAGATGAGTTGAGGAGGTGGGAAAAAACAAGCAACACAAGCAAGCTGAGCCTGCTAAGTGGCTGTTTGAGGCAAAGGAGGTGGGGAGGGGAGCAGCAGCAGTTGTGCTGCTGCCTTTATGAACTGGGATGAGCTCGGACTAGAGACGGGGGCATTCGTATATGAGTTCCAGAGCTCACAGTCAACTAGCCACTCTTCAACCTGGCAGGGAGGCTTGTCGCCCTGCCTCCTGCCAGGAGTGGCTAGTCAACTGTGAGCTTTGGAGTGAAAGGAAGGGAGCGTGGAGCCCGCACCAGCAGCAGAAGGGTAAGAAGATAGTTCAGTCCCAGGGGGCCAGACTCTTGTTATGTCCAC